CAAGACAGGGTATAAGATAAGAAAACAAGGCAGTTCTAGATGTGTATAAGAGACAGCAGTGGAGCAGGCCAAAAAAAAAAAAGAAAAAAGAAAACAAAAACAAAAAAACGAGAGAGCCACGGGCATCTTCATCCTAACCCATAACTACCGACATGCAGACCTGAACGCCAATCTTCAGCATATATTGGTAGTCGGCTGACCATGCAAAACGCAACTTGTGACATCTGCAAAGCTTGGTAAGGAAGGTCGTTATTAGGCGACTGTCCCTTCTTCCGAGCTTACCCGACCACTGTGTGGGGTGTGCAGAAGGGAGTGGGAAGGACAGCTTCTATACCCCGCCTTAAAAACAAGTTGGAATCAGCCCTATTTTAATTTTCGTCATTCTGAAACTTTTGGGGGAAGGCCCTGCGGAAATCGATATTCAGCAGCCCTTACCCAAGAGAAAAATTTGGGTCGGGGCGCGGCCGGTTTCCGAGCTCGCGCTGTGAGTTTAACATTTTTGCTTAGTTGGGGGCCCTAAGAAGTTACAAAAACCCTGCTTTTTTTTTGGGGGGGGAGCTAATTTTCCAGTGCGCTGCGCGCGGTGAGCAATTCGTGCACAAATCCGGGCACCGAGGTGCGCCGCGATATGCCTTTAAGGCCTCTCCTATCCGCCAAAATTTTCTCTCGTCGGCTAAGGAGCAGACCCCCTTGGCCGTTGCTTAGCTATCAGACGTCGCAAAAGAAGAAGATGGGGGGGGGGCCATCAGCTGTTACTCCGTGGATTATCAGCTGTTGGGCCCCCTTTTTAAAACTCAAAAGGAGTGTAAAACCAGAAAGACAAGGGAGGAATTCAGACGAATAATAATAATCCTTATCCAGTGGCCTAGCTCAGTTGGTAAGGCTCGCAAGTGGCATTCAGGAGGTCATGGTTTCAATCCCCATTGCCTCATGACTTCCTGGGCTTACTTGGCACCCGCTACCCAAGAGATAGACCACTGGATCCCCCGATCGGCATCAAGCAGAGTCTGCTATGTTCGT